AAAAAGAAAAAGTAAAAATATTAATAATAAGAAACCTTGTTTCGCTAAAATCTGCTTAATTAACTTGCGCCCATAGTAAATTGTCTAGAAAACAAACAAAAAGTTGAAAACTTTAAAAACGAAGTGTTAAGGATTATTGAAAGAGCGGTTCAAAATAGACCTGCTCAATGTTCAATTTCTAATCACTGAAACTCTTGAACACCTTCTTCAAATTCGAACCAAAGCAATAACAATAATACTTCTTTCTCTTCAAACACAAATCCGAATTTACAACCGGATAATTTTACTTCTAACATTCATAATAACTATTCTTCCAGTAGCACAACGAAAAATAGTAGCGGCGAAACTTCTTCTTCAACAAGTAATAATTCAAACTCAGGCAATTTTTCTTTGAGCAATTCTGATAGTAATGCTTCTTCTGTTTCAGCAGATAATAAATGAGAAAATAATTCTATTACCAACAACACTAGTGTTTCAAGCAGTAATGAAGATGACCATTTTCCTTCAGCAAACACTGGCGAATGCTCCTTACATTCTGCTGATGACAGAAATAATTCTGCTAGTAGCAATAGTAGTGCTTCTGCTCCAACCAGCTTACCTAAAAATAACCGCCAAGCAAAAAGCCTTGAAGGAAAGGAGTCAACCGAAGCCCTCAAAAACCAAGTTATTAAGGAGATCCAAATTAAGTTAAAAGATTCACCAGTTAACTTAAAAACCTCGGCTCAATGGCAACATCAAAACTGAGAACAAGAAATTAACCAATTAACTAGTCGTGAAGAAATTATTGCTTACCAAAAAACTCTTTTGCAAGCAGTTGAGCAAGCTAGCCAATCCCAATTGAAGCAAAATACTCATGCTTCTTCTACCAGCCAGGAAAAAGGAAAAGGTATGGTTCCTTGAATAGTGCTTGGTAGTATTTTAGTGATGAGTGGGTTAGTAGGATATTTGGTGTGGTTGAAAAAAAGAAAATAATTGACATTAAAATAAGCCAACAGTAAAATTAATTATATATGGAAACTAGTCAGCAGGAAAAAATTAAAGAATGTTTGGAAATTATCAAAGGTCTTACCCCTCCCCAGTTAGCGGAATTAAATAAAGCGATTGAAACAGAGTTTGATATCAAAGGAGGAACATTTGCTCCGGCTGCCCAAAAAGTTGATGAACAAAAAACTACTAGTTCGGCTAACGTCTCTTTGAAAGTGTTAGAGATTGGCAAGCAACCAGTGCAAATTTACGGAGCAGTAAAAGACATTATTAATAAGGAAACAGGCAGACAAATAAATATTATTAATGCTAAACAAATAATCGATCAAAAAAAACCAATTTTAGAAAATATCCCGAAAGCCAGAGCGGAGGAATATAAAAAACAATTAGAAGGAAAAAAAGAAGAAGAAAGAGGAGTGAAAGTAGAAATAATTGAATAAAAATAAATTATAGCCTTGATTAATGTTGCACCGTTCAATTAGCTCCGGAAAAGCCCAAAGGAGGGAATATTATCGTCATAATCGCTCAGACTTATTTCGGTCTTTGCCCCAAAAAGATTTAGCCGGGGAGCAAAGGGAATCCTATGAGTATTTTCTTTACCGCTCTTTGCCAAAATTACTGCAATTTTACTTTCCCGCTCAGTTCAAAGATTACAATAACCAAATAAGACTAGAAATTTTAACTTCCCGTTGGGAAGAGCCAAAATTTTCCGAATTCGAAGTTTACCGCAAAAAAATCACCTGGAATCAAAAACTTTTCCTCACCTGGTTAATTAAATGACATTGCGAAAAAGTTCAATTTCCAATCGACCAAAAAAAACAATTAGCCGAGAATTTACGGGACTGAATATGAAATTCACAAAAAGATGAAGGGAAAAGTTTCAAAATTAGCAAATCTTTTACTTTGGAGCAAAAAGAAGAAGATAAGTGAGAAGTAAGCGATAAAGACTTAAAAATAACCTTGTGAATTTCTCCTGGCGATACTTCTGACCGGCTAGCCGTTAAATTTTACTATGAACAAACCAAAGAAATTCCTTTTTGCGTGCTACCCAAAATAACCAAACAAGGCAATTTCATCATCAATGGTCACAATAAAGTAGTGATTTTTCAATCCGTTCGGGCGCCTAACGTTTACTTTTTCCAAGACAACGAAACCCAAATTCCTTACGGGGAAATTATTCCTTTCAAAGGTCCGTGAATCAGGATTTTTTTGGATAATTTAAATCCCCGCAGCCAAAAAGAAACTAAATTAGGAATCAAATTGAAATTTTTGAATACCGGAACCACTTTTGATTTAACCCAAGTTCTGGCTGAGATTCCTTTTTCCCCAGAAAGTTTACTCAGTTTATTTGGTCAAGAAGAAATCATTGAAAATAGTTTACAACTGGGAAAAAGTGAAAAAAAAACTGATAAAGCCATTCCGCGGTTCTTATTTGACGAAAAAAATTCTTATTTTTTACTCGGCAAGCTCGGTCGCCAAAAATTCAATCGGAAAATGAACGTTCTTTTGCGCCTCAGCGGACAAACTTTGGCGGAAGACCTAAAAGACAAGACCGGACAAGTAATCTTTCCCGCGGGAACTGTTCTAAGCGAAGAAGAAATCTCCACTCTCCAAAATTTAATTCAAGGAAATCGTTTGCCGCTATTCACCCTGGAAAATTATCAATTCTATTCATTCACAGTTACTTCACCACTTGCTCCCCAAAAAAAAATTAATGTTTTAGGCTCCGCAGAAAAAGATAACAGTAAAACCTGATTCGACTACGGCGACTTATTAATTGTTATTTCTTATTTCCTTAATTTACAACACGGCATCGGAAAAATCGAAAAAGAAGACGAAGAAAAAGATAGTTTAGAAAATCAAGTAATTCGGCGAGTTGGCGACTTGCTTTACAATATTTTTGACAATAAATTTGGGGTTTTCAAACAAGAAATTGAAAAAAAACACCTCTTCACTATTTCGCAACTAAACAAAGCTGAACCGACTAAATTACCCAAAATCCAAGAGTTTAATAAAGTTTTAAAAACTTTTTTTCATTCCTCTACTTTGGTGCAACTCCAAAACGAAAATAACCCTTTAGCCGAAGTTTCCCATATTCGCAAAGTTAGTTCTTTGGGTCTCGGTGGCTTTAATTTAACCAACGTCAGTCCAGGCATTCGCAATATCAATCCTTCTTACTATGGTCGTTATTGCTCCGTGGAAACTCCCGAAGGACAAAAAGTGGGGCTAATCCATAACTTAACCTTAAATGCCAAAGTTGACAAATACGGACAAGCCTTGGCTCCTTATTATTTAGTTAAACAAGGAAAAATTACCCCGGAAATTGTCTATTTAACTGCCGAGGAAGAACTAGAAAAATATATCACTCATTGCAATATTAAAATTAATGAAAATAACCTGATTGAAGAAGACAAAATTTGAGCCAGATACCAACGAAAATTTGTTTTTGTGCCCAAAGAAAAAATTGACTTTATTGATACTTCTTTTTACCATTTAAATTCCGTTAATAGTTCTAACATTCCTTTCTTTCAACACAATGATTCCGTGCGGATGTTAATGGCGGCCAATATGCAAAAGCAAGCCGTAATTTTGCTGAAAGGCGAAGCACCCTTAGTGGCGAGTGGGGTGGAAAATTACTTGCTAAACAACGCTTCTCTGACGGTTAGTGCCAATTCTGCCGGCACAGTCCAATATGTAGACAGTGAAAAAATCATTATTAATCATTCATTGCCTAGAGAAGGAGAAAAAGAATACCCAATTAGTCAATTTACAATTACCAATACTAATAACTTACTTACTTCGGTTCCGGTGGTAAAAAAAGGCGAGCGAGTTCAAGCGGGACAAATTATCGCTTGTGGTAGTTATCAGGAGCAGCAAGAACTAGCTTTAGGTCAAAATTTACGAGTGGCCTTTATGTGCTGAAAAGGTTATAATTTTGAAGACGCAATTGTGGTAAATGAACGTTTAATCAAAGAGGATATCCTGACTTCTTTATTTGCCAAAAAATATATTGTCATTCGCAAAAAACTCAAAGTGGACAAAAAACCCAAAGAAGAAGAATTTTATCCACGTCCGGAAATTAGCCACTTGGACCAAAAAGGCATAGTTAAAGTTGGCAGCGAGATACGGGAAAACGACGTTTTGGTTAGCAAGAGAACCCCCTATAAAAAACAGCAAGCCGAGGAGTTACTTATTGCGAGTATCATGGGGGAAGAAGCCCATTCTTTTATGGATACTTCTTTCCGTTTGCCTTGGGGAGAAAAAGAGAGTATTGTTTACGCAGTAAACCATCTAACGAAAGAAGAAATTTACCAACGGGGAAGCGGCAGTTATAGCGCCGATGATTTAGAAGCCATTGAAATTTGCGTAGTCCAAAAAAGGAGAATCGAAGCCGGCGATAAATTGACTACTCGCTTTGGTAATAAAGGAGTGGTAGGAAAAATTGTGCCGGAAATTGACATGCCTTTTGACGCAAACGGACAAACTATTGACATTATTTTTAATCCTTTGAGTGTTCCTTCCCGCATGAATATCGGTCAATTAGTGGAAATTTTATTAGGATTAGTTGCCTATCAAGCGAAAACCAAATTGTTAGTTCGACCTTTTAACACTCCCAGTTGAGAGCAGATTGCCCAAATTGCTGAAGAAAGCGGACTGCAAGATTATGGCTTAACCCGACTTTACGACGGTCAAACTGGTTTATCTTTTGACCAAAAAGTTTTAGTGGGCTACATTTACACCATTAAACTTAACCACATGGTCGCCGATAAATTCCACGCTCGCAATACCGGTCCTTACGCTTTGGTTCATCAACAACCAGTCAAAGGAAGAGCCCATGGTGGCGGACAAAGGGTTGGGGAAATGGAAGCCTGAGCCCTCGAAAGTCACGGGGCGGCTTATAACTTGCTGGAAATGATGAGTGCCAAATCCGATGACCTGCATTTACGACGCTTGATTCAATACTCTCTAATTTTTGGCGAGCGAGAACTAGTTATCAAAAGCAGTCAAAGTGAATCATTTAACCTTTTGCTCCAATATTTACGTGGCATTGGCTTCGATTTAACTGCCGAAGATTTCCAAGGCAAAAATGTTGATTTTTATAAGCAATTCAGTAAAATTTCCCAAATGTAATTATGACAACCATTAAATCCCTCAAACTTAGTTGGCTAACCGACGAAAAAATTAAAAGACTCTCTTTCGGAGAAATCACAAACAGCAAAACTCTCAACGCAAGCACCCTAGAGCCAGAAATTGGTGGACTTTTTTGCCCAAAAATATTTGGACCGGCTCGGAGTTATCAATGTGCTTGTCACAGCGATCAATCACGCCGGATTAAACACCAAAAGTGCGAAAACTGCGGGGTTTTAATTGCCAGTTCCAATATTCGCCGGTGGAGAATGGGACATCTTGCCTTAGTTAGTCCGGTTACAAATACTTTGCTTTTGAAAGGCATCCTGCCTCATTTAGAAAAATTGCTGGAAATCCCTGGCAAAGCAATTAAAGATTTAGTTTATTTTCATACTTACGTTGTTTTGGACCGCGGAAACTCCACTATTCTGCAAAATAAGCAAATTTTAGCCCACAAAATTGACCCAGAATTAATCAGCCAAGTTTTGACTGAACTTATCCAAGCTGGCGAAGCCAAAAGCAGTCCCGGTGGGCTAAAAAAAGCCCAGGAACTCCAAGCAAGTTTGCTTGGCCAAAAGAAAAAAGAAATTCAAAGTGAATTAAACCAAGTAAAAAAAGCCCAGCAATTGGAAAAAAACGAAAAACAAAAGGCTAAATTAGCTCAGCAAGAAGTTGATTTACAAGAAAAATTGAATCAAGCCAAACTAGAAGTAGTTTTTTTAGAAGATTATTTAGACTTTTTGCGAAAAAATTGAAAAGTAAGAATTGAAACTGGCTCGTTTGCCTTATCGGAATTGCTGAAAAACATTGATTTAAAAGCCGAATTGAAAAAAATTGCCGAACTTTCGCCCAAAGCAAATCAAGAGAAAGTCAATAGCAGAAAAAGATTTATCCAATCCCTGCTCCAAAACAATTTGCCTTTAACTGGCTTGATTTTAAACTACGTGCCGATACTTCCCGCTGGCTTACGTCCAGCCACGAAATTAGATGACGGTAGCATTGCGACAACCCAGCAAAATAACCCCAACCGGAAATTAATTCTCACTAATGAAAGATTAAAAAACATTTTAGAAATTAACAAAAATCTCCAAACTCCCGTGCTTTTTTTAGATATTATTCACAGCGAACAAAGGAAGTTGCAAAAAGTCTTCGACCAACTGCAATCAGGGGAATGGCTTCCCAAACAAAGCACCACCAAAAGTTTGCTGCAAATACTGAGTGGCAAAGAAGGAATTTTACGCAAATATTCGCTGGGAAAAAGAGTAGATTACTCGGCTCGCTCCGTCATTTCTCCTAATCCTCATTTATCCCTAAACCAAGTAGGTATCCCGGTAGAAATGGCTTTGGTGCTTTACCGACCCTTCTTGTTGGCTTCCCTTTTAAAAAAAGGCAAAAGTTTGGAGGAAGCTAAACAAACTTTATTGCAAGGGGATTCGGCAATTTTCCCCCTTCTCAACCAAGTTATTCAAAATCGCCCGGTGCTACTGAACCGCGCTCCCACTTTGCACCGCTTAGGAATACAAGGATTTCAGCCAATTTTAACTTTGGGTAAAACTATCCAATTACATCCATTAGTAACTGTGGCTTTTAATGCTGATTTTGATGGTGACCAAATGGCCGTTCTCTTGCCGTTAACCAAAAAAGCCCAAAAGGAAATTCAAGAGCGGGTAATGGCGGACTCGCAAATTTTGGATCCAAAAAATGGTAACTTAATCGATGCCCCTACCCAAGACATTATTTTAGGAATCTACTACTTAACGAGGACCAAATCCCGTTCCTTGGCGATTAATGTTGAGGAAAAAAAATCCACCCCTTCTCTTTATTACGAAGCCAGTCAAATGGAAAAAGATTATGAAAAAGGAAAAATCAATTTTGCTACCCCACTGTTTGTCCCTTTGCCTTTAACAGGAAAGCAATTTGTCTCCCAAGACGAACAAAAATTCCTTTTGACTACCTTTGGTAAATGGAAATTCAACCAAATTCTTCCGCCAACTTTTCCTTATTATATCAATGATTTAAAGTATTATAATCAACACCAAACTTCTCCGGCTTTTGCGGACATTTTTGCTTGGCCTTTCGTCAGCGACCAGGAGCCAAAAAATCTCTCCGGTTGGAAAAAAAAAGAGATTATTGCTTTTCTCAATAAATTAGCCAAAACAGTCAGCCAAGAGGAAATGGTAAAATTCTTGGACCAATTAAAGGATTTAGGATTTACCGCAGTCACCCAGTCCGGAATCAGCATTTCCCTCTTTGATTTGCCAAAAATCGCCGAAAAAGAAGCCATTATCCAAGCCAATTGAATTAAATTTGGGCAAATTGAAGATTATTACGAACAAGGATTTTATAACGAAGAGGAATTTACGCAGCAAAAAAAAAATCTTTGGGCCGAATGTAAGGAAAGTTTAGAAAAAATAATCGCCCAAAAACTCGCCCAAAAAAGCAGTAGTTCTTTATATTATCTTTGGGATTCCGGAGCCCGGGCTAACATTGAAAACTTAACCCAAGTTTTTGGCATGCGGGGCAATATGACTGACTATAAAGGAGCCACTATTGAAACACCCATTTTGTCCTCTTTAAAAGAAGGTTTAAATCCTTTTGAGTTTTTTATTTCCGTCTATGGTGCTATGAAAGGAATGATGGATACCGCGTTAAAAACTGCCGAAGCGGGTTATCTAACCCGTCAACTAGTGGAAACCGTCCAAAATTTGATTATTACAACTGAGGATTGCCAAACCCCAGAAGGCATTTCTCTCCAAGAACTAACAGAAAATACTGCTTTTGGTCAAAAAGGAAGTGTTCTCATTAGTTTAGCCGAAAGAATTGCCGGTCGGTACTTAGCCCAAGATGTTACAGTTAATGGCAAATTAATGTTAGCCAGCGGCACACTTTTGCTGGCAAAAGAAATTGCCCTTCTCCAAGAAAATAATGTTTCCGCAGTGAAAGTTCGTTCTCCGTTCACTTGCTCTTTAATTCAAGGGATTTGCCAAAAATGTTACGGTGGTGATTTGAGTAAAAATCAAGCAGTAATTGAATTAGGCACAGCCGTGGGAATTATTGCTGCCCAATCCTTGGGAGAGCCGGGCACCCAGCTGACTATGAACACTTTCCATACTGGTGGGGTAACCGGAGAAGAAGATATTGTTCAAGGCTTACCCAAAGTAAAAGAAATTTTAGGTAATGTTCTTCCTGATAAAAAAAAACAAGCAATTTTAGCCCAAGAAACTGGTGAAATAATTGCTATTATTGAAGACGAAAAAAATCAACAAATTACCATCAAACAAAAAGCCGAAAGCCAAGAATTCACCTATACCTTTGATTTAGAAAAAAGAATAAAAGTGAAAGTTGGTCAAATAGTGCAAAGAGGAGAAAATTTAACTGCTGGCAAGGTCAATTTAGAAAAATTATTGGAAATAGTCGGGCGGGAAGTTTGTCAAAATTATATCAAAGAAGAAATCTGAAAAGTTTATTATGCCCAAGGAATTAGAGTCAACGAAAAACACATTGAATTATTTGCCCGGCAAATGTTAGGCCATGTGGAAATAACTAAGCCCGGAGACAGTAGTTGCTTAACTAGCGATATCGTTAATTACCAGGAATTTTGCCAAATTAACCAAGATTTAAGAGCCAAGAATAAAGAACCAGCCCAAGCCAGAAATCTAGTTTTTGGTTTAAAGCAAATAGCCAAGTTCTCCCCTTCTTTCTTAGCCAGCATTTCCTTCCAAGAAACCGCAAAGGCTTTAATTAACTATTCCATCTTCCGACCAGTTGATTATCTCCAAGGAGTAAAAGAAAATTTGGTAGTTGGTCAATTAGCACCAGTTGGTTCAGGCTTAGAAGAACGCCAAAAGTGAGCTAGTAAAAAAAGGTCTGTGCGGGAAAGGTAAAATTTCTTTATAAATAACTTTGATGGGGAAAGAGAAAAAAGACTTGGCTTTTTCTTGGCAAAAACAAAAGTTTTCTTCGCTAGGACGTTGGCTTTTCCAAAAAATTAAATTTCCTTATCTAGTTTATTTTTTTCTAATTTTTCTCAACTGCTATTTTTGGGCTTTAATTCCCTTTAATGTTCGTACTAACTTCAACCAAAAAAATCCTAATTATGGGCTATTTTAATTGAATTTTCTGGCAACAAAATCTTCAACCAAAACACAATCCTCAGTGATATTTACAGCTAGTATTTACTTTATTTTTAATCTTTTTGCTAGGAGCTTTTTTATTCGATATTATTAGTTTATTTTTATAATCAGAACTTTTTTTCTACCGTTCACTTTTTTCTATAACCAAAACAAAAATGAACAAACAAAAAATAGCAAGACCTGCTCAAAAACTAAATGAAATTAAAATCCAGGGAACACTAACCTCCCGTATCGAAACCCGAAACAAAGATAAAGAAACTTATTATTACGGCTTTTTCCAAATAGCCAACCAAAACCAAGAAATCCCCATAGTCTTTAAAACCAAACCGGAAATCCCCAAAGGTTCCCAGGTCGAACTAACCGGCAAATGAGCCCAAAGCAACGGCAACCGACCATCCTTCACTGCCACCAATTACCAACTCCTTTCTGACCCACCCGAACTAACCACCCAAACCTTACGGGAACAAATCCAATCTCTCCTTACCCCCAGCCAAGAAAAGAAAAAAGAATGAAGCCAAACAGCGGACTTTTTCTTTCGTAAGCTGGAAGAATTAAAAGAGTTAGAAAAGTTCAGCCAATTAGGAGAACAGTATTTAAAAGCTCACTTGCTCACTAAATCAGCCCGGTATGCTAACTATCAAAGCGAATACTTAGAGCAAGCTAACTTGAACCAAGCTAGTTATTTAGCCCGAATGGCTTCCGAGTTAGAGATAACCAAAAGGCAAATGTTAGCTATGGGTTGAAAGGAGGCCAGCAACTAATGGGCACTGACCTTTTAAAGTTTGCTGGCACTTTCGAACGAGCTAAATATTTAAAAGACTTCTCTTGCTCCAATTGCCAGCAAGCCATCAGCGAGCAAGATATTGAAGCCAAAAACTACCAACTAGGAGTTTCTGACTATGCCAACGAAATCAACAAAGAATTCACAACTGGTCGGTTAAATATCCCTCTTTACTCGCTGACTTTTTGGTTAAAGAGTGTAGAACACCAAGAGTGTCCAGAACAGGAGGTCTCCCGTGCCTAGAAACTTAAAAACCCAAGCCCAATTACAAAGGGAAATCAACCAATTAAAGTCCGAAAACCAACAATTAAGACTACTTTTGCACACGATTGTTTTGACGGCTAGCCAAGCCGTGAACAGAGAACCCGAGTCAGAAAGTGAACCCGAAAAGGAGGCCAACCATGAATAAACTAACTTTCACCCTCAGCTTAATCAACCTTGCTCTCTTGCTGACCCTGCTCTTTTGAGTCCTCAATAAAAACTGCTCCCGTTGCCAGCAAGAAATGAGCTTCAAAAGAATATTTACCTTCAAAGACAAATGCCAAGACTGTGAACGAAGCCCTTTGGCTTTTGGTAAAGACAAAGAAAGGAGGAACCATGGCTAAAATCGAAAAGCACCTCAAATTCACCTGCCCCCAGTGCTTCTCTACTTACCAATTGCTGGAAATCCACGAAAAAGAAAATAACCCTTGCCCAACCAACTGTCCAAAACAATGGCAAGCTCTCTTAAACAAGCACTACCAAGACTGTATTATCCTTAACCTAGCCCGAGAAGAAGCCCAAAAGGAGGAAACCCATGACTAAAGCCCGTTCCCAATTCCTTTACCACCTCCAAGGAACCATCACCAAAGTCCAAGCCAAAAAAGCTTCCGCCAAAAGCCAATATGCCGGTCAGTCTTATTATGACTTGCTGGTCAACCTCAAAAAACCCCACCAGCATATTCGAGTTATTCAAGCTTTTCCCGAGAAAATCACTGACTTCACCATCTGGGAAACTATCGCCCGAGGTCAGTGCTACCAAAAAAAGTATCTTTTCCACTGCCGAAATATACGAGGCTATTATTACCTAGTAGACTGGGAAGAATTGAAAGGAAGCAAAGACTAATGAACTGAAACCACTACTGAGCCAAAACCACCCACCAGCCAAAAATAGCCATGAAGAAACACAGCCAATACCTGGAATACCTCCAAGACAAAAACTTAGCTCCGAACACTATTGCCTCCTACTTAAATGCCCTTCGACCCTTCCCAGCTAAGTTCACCACCAACCAAGTAAAAGAGTATTTCAAAACTAACCTGCCAAAATACCAAGCCACCACCCTGAAAGTCCAAAAGTATGCCCTCAATTCCTATGTCAAATTCAAGAAACTCAAAGTCGAATGAGAAAAGATTGCTCGACTAATCCCCCAAGTCCAAAGAAAGTTCTTTGATACCATCACGGAAAAAGAACTAGCCCTCTTAAAGCAAACCAAAGTAGAAAAAAACCCCACCATCCATGCCCGGAACAACTTAATTCTCGATTTCTTGCTCTACTCCGGGGTCAGAATTAACGAGTTAATCAACATCAAACACCAAGACTGACAGGGCAACCAATTAAAAGTCCACGGCAAAGGTAATAAAGTCCGTTATATCTTTTTGCCGGATTTCTTAATTAAACATTTAAACCCAACCAAGCCAGACTACTTATTCACCAACCAAAGAGGCAAACCCATCAAAGCTGAATATATCCGGTGGCTCTTAAAAACCCGAACCCACCAAGCTAATATCCCGAAAAGAATAACCCCCCATACTTTCCGAAGAAGCTTTGCTACCCTCCTCTACCAAAAAGGAGCCCAATTAATGACTATCCAAAGACTACTGGGTCACAGCAGTGTCCAAACTACCGAGACTTATATTCACAATGATTTTGCTTATCTTTACGGGGATTATAGTCGGCTGTGGCAACCAAGCCAAGGAGGTCACCATGCTTAAATTTAAATTCCACTATCTCCATAACACCCTAGCCATCCACCAAGAGAACGATATCTGAAACGAACTAGACGAAAGCCAACAATTCCAAGGCAGCTTTGGCAGTGTAGGCTTCAAGTTAGAGACTGGGTGAATTAGCTTTAATGTCTACGAAAAGAAAATCCGAACCTTTTACAAACACTTTGACACTCCCACTTGGTTTACCCATTACCGGAAAGATTTACCGCGAGAATGTCCCGTGATTTTCACCTTCACCAAAGCCGACCAAGTAGAAAAAGTGAACGGCAAGTGAACCAAGAAAGGAGAACAGAAAATGTAAACTCTCCTCACGGGAGCCACAGGCTAAACCTACCAACTCCCACCAGATAACCAAGTTAATGTCTCATTAACATAATCTTTGAAAATGCTTAATTAACCAAGTAAGTCCTTATTTAGCCCCATCAGCCAAAAGAGAAAACAATCGACCCTCGTTTGAACGGAGCTAAAAGCAACCTGGTTCAGCCAGGCCATGTGACTAGGCAATAGCATGAATAAGCTGAAAACGTTCAGCTGAGTAAGTGAAATTAGGTTTATGTTTGCTAATTAAGTTGAACCCAGCAAGCCGAACAGGTTTTTTTCGGTCAGGAATTATTGAGAAGTCGAGAGGGAAAGGGGTTTTAATTTTCTTATTCCCAAGGGGATGGTATAGGTGGTTTGATAAGAGTTTATGTTTAAGGTTATTTTCCTTTCCCAAAAGAGAAACCCAAAAAGGCAAGAGAGACCAAAAAAAACAAGCCAAATTTACCAACCAACTACCAACCAAAATCCCATCCTGATAGGTCAGGTTAAGCCAAGCAAACCCCCAACAAAAACAAATGTTAAAAAGGTTTATATGAACTTCTGAAACCAACTAGCCAGCCAGCAAATTACCGACCGAGAAGGAATAGAAAAATACCTCCTAACCAAACTCGGTCAACCCACCAACGAAACCCAAACTAACCTCCTCCAAGAACTCACCAAAAAAATCAACTCCTATTACCACGAACCCCACCCCGAAAACTACACCACTTATTCTCTAATCGGTTCCGTCCAAGAAATAGCCGAAAGAATAAGAAAGACCGGCAAAAGAAAAGGGCAATTAGATTACGACCTAAAACTAGCCAACAAAGAAACCCTCCAAGCCAGAAAGGAAGACCTCCCACCTGAGAAATGAAACCAAATCACTAAATTAGCTCTCTTAGGGCAAAATTTAGTTTTTAAATACCGAAAATGGATTACCAACAAGCAAATAATTGACTTCTACCCACCGAGCAAAAAATAGCCATGAACAAACCAACCCAAACCTTAAAGCTGTGCTTTAATACCCAAATAAAAGACCCCCAAGGCAACCACGGGGAGAGAGATGCTGACTGGCTGGTTGTCTGTGAGATATCACTTAACCCCCACGGGTTAAGGATAAATCCTGACCCCACCGTCAGAGTATCCTTCCCCCGTGGGCCTTCCGTGCCCGTATACACAGGAAAAATCTTTAAGCCATGGTAAGAATATTAAGCATTGACCCATCTGGAACCGGAACTACCGGGATTTATTTTCGGAATGGTCAGCAAGAGGAATTTAATTGTTATCAAGGAAAAGACTGGCAAAAGCACTATGAATTTATTGTTTCGTTAGTGAAAGTATACCAGCCTGACATTTTGCTTTATGAAAGCACGAATTATGTGGGTTTAAGGGGCAAGGATATGACTAGCCTCTTTAAATTACTGGGAGCTTTGGCTGTTTTGCCGGTAGAGATAATAAAGAGTGTGCCAGTCAACCAAGTAAAGGAGTTGAAAGGCAAATTGTTAAAAGGAACCAAGACCATATCCGGCTTAGAATACCATCAAGGTCGCGGCAAAGGTTGAAGCCTCTACCAGCAAAGAATTAGTGTCCACCAACTAGATGCTTGGTTAGTTTACTGATTAGGAGGTAAACATGAGTAAATTAATCAACATAGAACTAGAAATCAAAAGAATAGCCCGACTTTTTGCCGAAAAACAACAAATAAAAGTTGAGGTATTTTTTCACCGACCAGCCGGAGAGAAATTTAATGAGGAATGGCTTAGGCATAATGGTTTTCACGATGGCAAAACAGTGCCGGGATTACACCAAATATACCTTAAATTAACCCGAGACGAAAGTCTAATCTTTCGCACCTTAGCCCACGAATTAGCTCATACTTTACAACAAGAAGTGGAAGGAAAACAATATTCTAAAAAGCATAACCTCACCTTCTGGAAAACTTTGGATGATTATACTTTGCCTTTTGTGTTGGAAAACCTACCAAAAGAAGACCGAGAAGGTTTGCTCAGCCTGGCAAATCCTACCACTAATCAAGCTGAAGAAAACGACCGAGTTTATTTAGAAACCCAAGAAGGAATAATAAAATTCCCAGTTGAACCGGAGAATGTTAATGAGCAGTGAAAAATAATCAGACGAGAGACTATTCAGGGAAACCTAGACCTAAGAGCTTTTGTTTCCACTAAAAGGATTAGCCAGAATAAATACTGATTGACAATTCATATCAGTGACAAGCAAAATAAAGGAGAGATTGCTCGAGTAATAGAGAAACTAGCCGAGTTAGGAGTTAGTGAGGAGGTAATTAAAGTTAAATAACCATGACTAAATTAATCAACTGGCCTGCTATCTATAAACAACCCGGGCTATTCCACATCTACCTCACCGAAAGAAAGACCGGCAAAACTTTCAGCAAGATATTAGAGCTTTTCACTCGAATAATCACCAAAGGAGAATTCTTTGCTTGGGTAAGAAGACACTGACACGACAGCCTAGAATGCTCCAAGCCTCTTTTCTTAGATGTCCTGTGAGAAATAGAACGAGAAGGATTAATCCCCAACTTCCAACCCCGCGAATGGGAAGTAAAAGAAAAAGGAGTTTATTACCAAGGAGAGCTTTACCTTTTCTTTTATGATTTATTCTCCTATAAGAAAGCCCGCGGTGGAAGAGCCAAAACGGTCAGTGAGATTGTTTATGAAGAAGCCATTCCCATTGACCAAGAATTTTTACCCCGAGAGCAATTTAATTTCCGGGACTTAGTAGATAGCTTAAAAAGAAAAGACCAACCCTTAAAGATTACCTTTTTAGCCAACCCTTATTCTTGGAGTAGTTGGTTTTTGAGTGTGTTTGAGCAAGAGGATATTTTGTTTGCTTTACGGAGGGAAGCGGAGGCCATGAAAGAGCAAAATAATAAAGAAGGAGTAAAAGCATGGAGCAAAGATAAACAATGATTTCTTTATATCAATCTTGTCAAGCCCCGTGAGGATGTCCACTCCTTAGCCTTAGAAGAAACCCTTAACCCTTTTACCCGGAATTGGGATGATTTTATGATTACCCGACCCAAGAAATACCAAATCCTTTATGCCGTCCAGGATTACTTCTTTTGTGAGGTAGGAGAAAGGAAAGTTCACAAGAAATATGCCTTAATGCACTTTACTCGGAATAAGAAGGAGACTGAGAAGAGTTTGGTTAATTTTTGCTTTGGCTTAGAAGAGAAAGCCAAGTCTAAATTAAAGAATTGCCGGATTAGGGATAAGGGAAAAGTAGTTGGTAAATGAGTGAATATGTTAAAGGAGGGAGAATTAAGGTTTGTGGATTTTAGGAGTCGAGACTGATTTCTTGACTTAATCAGGTAGGTTCTTTTGTTAAAAAGGTTCTACATTGGTTTTTGGAGTTGATTAAGGTTGGTTAGTAAGGAAAGTTGGTTGGTGAGGATTTGGGAAAGTTGTGGGGAAATTAATTGTTTTTGCTGGAGCTAGGAATACCGTAAGTGGGTTGGATAATTTGGGCTTGTTGCTCCTCACCTAACTTAATTTCTTTGTTATTCTCTCGGTCAATTTGGGAGGAGATTGATAGTTGTCTTTTAGCTCTACTTGCTAAGTTTTCGGTTTCTTGTTCTTTTGGAAATAATTCAATCGGTCTATTATAACTCAAATTAGCATTATCTCCAATTTGATTGCCAATTAAAGCATGACCTCCCTCTACATTAATATTTTGTTGAGTAGGCCTATCTTTTATTATGGCTAATTGTCCTTTCATTTCGGCTATTTCTAGTTTTAGAGATTGAAATTGTTCTTTTTGCTCTTGGCTAACCCTTTCATGCTTGATGATTAGTTCTTTTTCTTCCTTGTCATCTGTGATTTGCTTTAAAGTTTGTTTTTGTTCTTCAATTAAGAAAGTTTTGCCTTTTAGTCTTTCTTCTAATTCTAATTCTCACTCTACTAACCTTTCACAATCACTGAGAATAAATTGGATTTTCTCAACAAATTCTTCTCCGAGCTTTTCTTCTAACTCGTCTTCAATTCTTTGACATTCTTTTTTCAATTTCCGGGAAGGAAGCTTTTGCTTTTCGGCTTTCTTGAATTCTAAACAAGTAGTGATTAGTTGCTGAATTAATTCTTTTTCGGGAAGAACGTTTAAAAAGTCTTGAATGATTTTTTGTTTTTGTTGTTTTATTAGTTGAGTTAATTCTTGGACACGAAGTTCGAGGTAGTTGATTTGTTTCTCTTGTTCTTGGAATTGGGATTGTTGTTTTTGGAGAAGTTGAATTTGTTGTTGGGCTTGCCGGTTTGTTTTTCAGTTTTTTAGAAGGTAAATAAAATTGCCGAAGTTTGACTCGCCAAATTTACTTAGTTCCTGCTCGATAACTTTTACTTTAGCATCTTCACTTTCGTTTGCCGAACAATCAAAATGCTCTAAACTATCAGGTAAATATTCTCAACCACTATCGATATCAGTATCTCTAATATCTAAATACTTTAATTTAGTTAAGTTTTGTAAAGATTGCAAGCTACCAACGAGTCGATTATAAGAACAATCTAATCTCTCTAAATTAACAAAATCACTTAAATCCAAGCTGTCAGTGAGGTCTTTATAGGAGATATCTAATTCTTTGATAGTGTTTCTTTGTGCTTGAGGATATTTTCAATCCAGATAATTTTTGGCAATCTTAAATTCTCTTTCTAATTGCTCTAAATCTAAATCTGAATTAAATTTATGTTTTTTTCATTTTAGATAAGTAGCAAATTCAGCGTCATTAATTGTTAAGTTTTCTTTTATTCAATTTTGAGCTTTTCGAGGAGTGAAGTTAAGGCTTTTTCATTGATAAACTTGCTCGTAATCATCTGGTTTAAAGCCCGCGGGAATTCATTCTTGGGCATCTTGATAAGTTAGGTTTTCTTCTTTTCAGCGTTGTTGGTAAGTTTTATATTTATATCCATCTCAACGCCTATTTCCACCTCCACGCCCATTATTAAAATCCTCATGAATATTTACTCATTTTTTTCATTCTATACATTCTTCTCTCTTTTCTTCTAAATTAACTTTGTTTAAATCTTTTGGTTTATAATTGTTATTATAAAAATAAGCAGCAAATTCAACATCTTGGGGAGTTAAACCAGCAGCAATTCATTCTTTAACTTCATCGTGGGAAAATTTTCAATATTCTCATTGTTTTTGTCATTCTTCCGTGAAATCAGGATGAATTTTTTGTCATTCTTGTAAACTTATTTCTTCTTCAGATTCAGACTTAGAATCAACCTCGGAGATTTCTTTCTCTTCAAGTTCAGAATCAGTTTCGTAATCAGAGTTAACCATATTATTTTTTTTCTCCTTTTCTAGTCAAGAAATAAACAATTGCTCCAATCAAACCAACTATTCCCACTCCTCCTAAAATCCAAGGTAAATAATTGGGCTTAGAACCTAAATTGCTCTCTCTCTCTCTCTCTCTCTCTCTCTCTATTAGACTACAATTTTTAACATGGTTTTCTCAACCATCATCAGTGGCTGAATATTCACCTGATTTATCTATTCATTGTCAATTACGACGGACAGTTTCTCCACATTCACATTCAGTATATCTCCCGGCATCAGCCATAAAATTGCCAGTGGGAGTATAGCTTGAATTTGCCATTGGGTTAATAGGAGTTGAATTACAATGATAAGTTTTGTTTTTTTTGTCAAGAATTTTGTAAGGACATTCGGTAGAGGCAAGCAATTCTTCTATTTTCTTTTTGGCATTAGTTTGACAAATTTTAAGAATTTTTAGCTGATTTTCTAAATATTCGTGGCAGTCACAATTTCAATCATTATTTTCTTTACTCATATAATTGTAATTTTAACCTGACCTACTAGAATTAGTCAGCATCATCGTCATCATCACCTAAATCCGGAGGAGGAACATCATAATCTCCTCCTTCTGGGTCTCGTCCGGTGTCGGGGTCATTGGGGTCGATTTCGGGTGGGTCGGGTTCGATTGGAGGAGGGTCAATGTCGGGTGGGATATCAGGGTCATTAGGGTCAATGTCAGGGGGAACATCAGGTTCGATTGTGGGGATTTCTGGTTCTCCTCCGCTAGGGTCAAAGGGGTCAGGGTCAATAGGGTCATTATCAGGACCAATATCACCATCTCTGGGTTCGGGTGTCGGTATTTCTATTTCTCCCAAAGGAATTTCAATATCCCCTCCTCCGGGTGCTGGATTAGGGTTTCAGTCTAGTCCTCCAAAATCATCATGCCCAGGGACTTTTTGGTATCTAATTGAAGTGCTTCCTATTCTTCAACGAATAGTGCCGCCAGCCGGAATAAAACCATAAGCTTCTTGGAAACTTCTGCCTTGTCCGTCTCGGATATATTCTCCGGTAAATTCCCAAACATCTCCTTTGCTACCTAAACATTTTCCATTGGGACACTTTCATTCACCATTACTATTTAATCGAGCATTAGTAAACTCATTAAATCAGGGGTCATAGGGCAAACCAGTAATCACTCTATCCAAACTATCTGAACTACCACTATCATAGCCACTATGTAAAGTTGTAAAACCTTGCCCCAAAGCTCCACAACCAATACAAGCATAAACATCAATGAATTCTTTGACGGGCTTATCAAACTTGATATCAAATCCTCCGTGGGTGTGTCCGTCAGCTAAATCGTTGTCCGTAAAGGATTGAGGGAACAAGACTAGTCAGTGTTCTTTGCTACCATCCTCAAAAGTAATAAAGAAGTGGGCTCTCTGGTGGTAATTTGAGCCTTTGGGTCGGTCAATTATGGATACAAAACTGTCTTTAATTTCTTCACCTTCATACCTTCCGGCATCTCCTAAGTTATAAATAATTAAATTAGTCGCTCCGATAATACCTAAATCGGGTTTAGGGAAATCTTTTTCCATATCTTCAAAAAAAGTTATTCCTTCTTTAAATTTATTAGCCAAAAATTTTCCTGGGTCATAAGCTAATCTTAAATTATTGCTTTGATAATAACCTTTTCTTAATATCATTCCAAATTTAGGAAAAGTAATATTCAAAGGATAAGTTATTGGATTTTCGTTGTTATTGTGAAGAAGATTGTTTTTTAAAGTATTAGAAACGTGTATTTTGCCTCAAAATGGTCTTTTCCTTAACTTGCTTCAAAAATCAAACAAACTGAATGAATAACTGACATTGCCATTTTCATCCGGCAAGAGAGATTTAGCTCCTGCTAACAGCTGATTAGCTTGATTAAGTTTACTTAAATCTCCCTTGACAGCATTCAGAGCAGCACCATCAGCCAAACCTGCTCCCCCAGCTCCAATGGCACCAGCCAACATAAAAGCTCCCGTGACTGTCACGACAACCATGGCTGCCGTTAATAGTTTCTTTAAAGTTTTGCTAGAAGGAACAGTTTGCTTAACTTCTATTTTCAATTGTCAAAGAATTCTGCCACTTAAAAAAGTGTATAAAATTCCTGCTGGTGTTGCTTTAACTTTAAGAAGATATTTGACTAGCCACTTGTTATCTTCATATTTAAAGTTCAAGTATCTTAAATTAGCAGGAAATAAAGGTTCATGATTAAAACAAAATTGGAAAGTAGAATGATTGATTAGGTGTTTATGTTTTTCAAGGTTTTTGCTTATCGTTTGGATTATTTGAGAATTGACTGTTGTTTCTGGGTCAGTAGTGTAATCCTTAGTGGCTAGTTCGAAATGTAATTGCTTTGCTCTTTCTCCTGAATATGGATTAGCTTCATAAAAACAATTACTTGCTTCACTTCCTACCCCAGCAAATGTGCTACCAGTATAAAAATCATCTGGCATAAGAAGAAGCATGATGTCATTCTTATTTAAACCAGTTCAAAAGTTATTGTATTTTTCTATTTTGTAGAGATTGCTAGGAAGTTTAATGTCTTCACTATCATAAAAGTCAGCTAAATTATTATTCCCTTTAATTCAACTTTCTCCTGTATCAGCAAGCTTTTCTATAAAGTTAGGGTGATTGATGGTGTATAATTGCCACTTCGGTTGAAATTCTGTGTCTAAATAATAAACTTCTTTATCTCCTAAATCTTCACAAAAAGGATAATGTAGTTTATCTAGTTCTTCATTAGGTTCGTTATAATTCCTTACGTGGTAAATCGGATGTTCTCTGCTTACTAAACTCCCCATACTATTCATTGCCCTCGGGTAATTCTTCCAACCTCAATCTTCCTCCAAACTCAAGCTCACATATAAATTCCTCGGATTATTCATTTCAGCTTCACCCACAAAATAAGCCCGGTAAGATAAAGGATTAATGCCGTTGGGTTTCTGGTGAAATCAAAATAACATTAAATAAGGGTTAGTTAAGTCTCAACCTTTTCTATTTTGGGTAGCAATGGTAATTCCGTTTTGGTTTTGCTTTTTAATGGCTCCCAAAGTAAAAAAATAATTTTGCTGTCCGGCTTGGTCGAGAAAGTTTTCAATTCTTTGGGTAAATTCGTCTAATTGGCTTTTTCATTTGCTGGTGGCTCCTTTGCCTTGTTGTCATTGTTTTAAATAGTTTCCTATCTCTGCTCATAATTCTGGCTGTAAGCCTCTTTCTCCCATTAAATTAGCTCATTTCCAATACCACCGGCAAGCTACATTATAATTAATTCTCCCGTCAATAAGCTTTTCTAAATCACTAGCCATCAACTCATCCTCTCGGTCGGTTAAAAAAGCTGGATTAGCATTAAACTCTCGGAGCCTTTCCTTAAATTGCTGTTGTTGCCGATATTCTACTTCCCAAATAACCAAGTCTAGGAAAAGTGAGCTGCTTTCTCCAATGATTTTATTATCCAAAATTCTCTTACAGCGAAATAAAAGGGTTTTATCTCCTTCTGGGCTTTCCAACACCGGAATAATCTCACTTCGGAAATAACCCCCAAAAGAATTAATCAAGTTTTCTAGTTCCGTGTGTTTTCTAATAAAAAACTCTGTCCAGTGTTTTTGCCAGTCAGCAAAAGTTTTAGTCAAAGGTAAAAACTGGTATTCTTTATTGTAAACTTTGTGCTTTCATTCGGTTCGACTGAAATCTACCCAAAGGAATAAAACAGTTCAGAGTTCTTTCCTCGTATTAATATCCGTTTCAGTAATCAGATTACTTTGCTCTAAATTAACCATGATACTCTCCTCCCATATTATCCACTCAACCTGGCACCCAGTCTAGATTCTGGGTGAAACATTTACAATTAACCTTGTGATTATTCCTTATATCTTTGCCATACGGGCAACTTTCGTCTTTGCCTTCTCTTTGGAGGAAATCCCAATTATAACCCACTAAATCAGTGGGCAGGGCTGTTTCTGGCTCTAAAAAATCACTAATTAAGGTGGGGATTAGCTTTAAAAGGATATTATTCTTGGCTCCCCGGATAGAGAAAGTTCAAGTTAAGGTTTTCTTTAACAATTCTTCGTGGTCAAACAAATTAAACACTGCTTGCCAGTCTTGGTGGTAAATTCTTTGGAAAGCATTGTTGAGTTTCTTTAACTCTCCGGCTAAAACTACCCTCACTACCTCTAACCTTTCCCCGTAAGGCAAAGGTAAAACTTCTACTTTGATGGCAAACCGATCAGCCACAAAGTTCGGCACATCCTCGGGACGGTTCACGGTAGCAATAAAGATACACTCATTCGTGGGAGTAGGAAAGTCTAAAAAAGTATCCGTGAAATCTTTGTTGCCAGTTATATCGGTCGGTATCCCAGCCGCCTCCTTACACTCTCTCGCGGCTTTTTCAATCTCGTCAAAGCAAATTACACAAGCTCGGTCTTCTCTTCGGCTGATGGCTTTCAGCACTTCCCCTGGCTCTGCCCCAGGGTTTTCAATGTTAGTGCCGGTAATTAAAGAAGCATTTAATTTGCCGTTCATGCCGACCATATGGAAGCCTCGACCTAAGGCTCGGGCAATGGCCATTGAGATATAAGTTTTTCCCAGTCCAGGCTCTCCTAAGAGCATAATCATTAACTGAGCGGGAGGAGGAGTGTTATTCCTTTTGGCAAAGTGGTAGCTCCGAAGGTATTTTTCTACGATTTGGAGGATATTTTGGTAGCCAATCACTTTGGTGTAGCCTTCTACTTCTCCTCTTATTCGGGAACGGAAAGTTTCCAGGGTGGGGAGTTCGATATATTCGGGTTCGTAAGCTTTGAGGCAACCTTCTAGGGTTTTTAACCTAAGGGCTATTCGGGGTTTACGGTTGTTGGTGTCCGGGAGCTTTTTATACTCTTTTTCGGTTTTTTGGTGGAGGGTTTTTAGTCTTTCCAGGTAAGGCAAGCTTTCGTCTCATTCGTTAGCTACTGGGAGAATAGGTCGGCCTCCTTCTTCCTCTTGGACTAATTCTTCGTATTCGGCTTGGGATACTCACCTCCTTCGTCCTGTCTCCGGGTCAATGATGGGTTTGACTGTGCAACCAAAGGTTTTGAGCATCAGCTTCTCAAATAAAGGGTAAAACTTGGAGAGTTCAATAATGGTGAATTGGAAAGCATTGAGGATTTTCCCGAGCACGGGAGCTAATTGGTAGCTATCCTGGGTGGTGGTGGCAACATTAGCATCCTTCTGGCTTCGATAGAATTCTTTGCCGACATGGTTAATCTTGTCGGTAGTGTTCTTCCGGTTAGAGCTTCGGTTCCCTTGCCCTTGTTCTTGGTTTTGGGTGGAAAGTTGGTTCTGTCTTTGGAAGCCCCCAAATTGCCCACTGCCTAAATCCACATTAGCAAAAATCGGAGTATTCTTTTGACTGCCTTGCTTTTGGTCGTTTCAATTTTGGCTTTCGTTCCCTTGGCTGGTAGTCCTGCCCCCTTGGGTTTGGGTTTTATCGTAATTTTGGCTAGTTCTCGTGTCGGTTTTGAGGGTGAGCTTTTTCATTCACTGCTTACTGTCCCGGAAAATATCGGTTCACAGTCATTCTTTACGACGGATTTCCACGATGGCCGTGAGGGTGTTGGTTTTAAACTTGGCTACAAAGACATCGTCATAAGGTTCATAGGTCGAATATTAGTATCGGTCAAAGTAGTGTTTGGCAATGGAGACGGCACCGAGACCATAGCCTCCACTGGCTAGGGTTTTCTTAATTTCCTCGTGGGTTAAGGTAGCGGGGGTGTAAGAGTAGATTACTTGCTCTAAGTCTTTTTTAAACTCTAATTTAGCCCAGAATTCTGGGAAACCTTGGGGGAATAAACGAGCTAAGGATTGTTGAGGGACAGTTCTTTCTTCTACCATGGTTCCTCCTTGTGGATGCCGAATTCTTTGGCTAAGATTTCACTCGCACTAGAATAAGGATATTTAGCTCATAATTCGTCGGTGATTAAGTCAGCTTCGTTGAATTCTTTGAGAGTGGGACGGCAAGTGGGACAAATGGGATATTCTTGTAAAGTCTTATCTAGTTTCATTTTGCTTGGGGTTCCTGGGTGGATTTGTTCACAGCTGGCACAGGTGAAGGTTAAGAGTTGGGGTTTTTGTCCTTGGGCTACGGCTCGGGCTTTTTTCGAGCAAGACCGGCAAAAAGAGAAGTTGTTGAATTGTCGGCTTAGTTCTGGGGCAGGTTTGGTTTGCTGGCAGTCGGAGCAGGTGAAGGTTTTGGTTTCTTTCGTGTTTTTTACTTGGTTTTTTAAGTCTTGAATGGTTTTGTTAAGAGATTGGTTTTTGGCTTCTAGTTCTCTGATTTTTTGGTTAGCTTCCATTAAAGCTTGTTCGGCTGCTTGGCTGATCGTTTCTGGTGCTGGTTTTTGTTTCAGCACTCATTCTAATTCTTTTATTCTCTCTTCGGCTTGGTCTAATTGGGCTGTGGCTCTTTGGAGGTTAGTAAGGTGGGTTTGGGCTGTTTGGCTTCAAAAGTTCACTTGTTCTTGGAGTTGGTTTATTAGGGTTTCGTCCGTGGCTTTGCTGGGGCTTTTGTCCCGGTTCGTAATGTTTGGCTTGGTTTTCTTGTCAACAGGCACAATAATTGGACTAACCGGAGGACTAGAAGCCGGAGTGTTATTTTCTTGGTGAGAAGGGAAAATAAGAGGGCTAGAATTAGAGGAACCCAAACCCTTCTCACCATTGGAATTTTTAACTTTCTTTTTCAGGTCAGAAGGTTTAATTCCCTTCTTTACTTTCTCCAAGAGTTCCTTTTGGAAGTCGGGTTTAATCATGCTTCCCTCCTCGGTTTTTCAATTCGGCTACTTCTAGTTTAAGTTCGTTGATTTGCTTTTGCTCTCGACCATTTTTCTTTTCTAGTTTGGTTACTCGGGCTTCGGCTTTAAGGGTTCGGTTAGTAAGCAGAGCCACTAAGGGCAGAATAATGATAACCAAGGCTAATGCTACATGACAGCAACCGATATTCATTATTTACCTCCTCCTTTCATTGGTGGAATTCATGTGTTTTCTTGCTTAATTTCTGTTTTTTGGTTATTTCTCTCTTTTCCTTGATTTAGTTTTTCCACTTCTTCTTTTTGCTCCATTTCTTCTTTGTGCTCTTGATAAGAACCATAACTTAAAACATGCTTGCCCGAACACATTTTTTTATTTTCAAAATCTCTAATGCTGGCTTCTCGAATTCTTTTCTTTCTCCTCTCCAAAGCCACAAATTGGACTTGGTTAGTTTCAATTTCGGGATTATTCATTCGGTCCTCTTTTTTACTGGTAATGTGTTCTATTCCGTGAATTCTTCTAAATTCACTTAATTCTTCTTTGTAATCAGTTCACAACTGCTCTCTTTCCTTGGTATTTTGAGTAGAATAGACTTCGTGGGCTGTAATATCATTTGTTATGTCGGGCTTGTGAATGTAAAAAATATAATCTCCTTCTCACTCGTCGATTTTATAAGATTTGTCCGTAGGGTCAGGCTTTTGTTCCACTCAATTAATAATTTTTTTCTTGGAAGCTTTTCGGTCTCACCTAATTTTTTCCCGGATATCTCACATATCCTCTAAATAAATTTCTTCAAAACCTTTTAAATTAGGAGTATGTTGAGGATTGTTGAAAAATAGCACTATTTCTTCTTTATTTAAAAAAATTTCTTTTTGCTTAGGGTCTTTGGGTTCTTGGTAATTTTTCGGTTTAATTCTTTTTTGTTCACCTGATTTAAATTGGATTTCGATATTTTCTATTTCTCCTAAATCATTCTCAACCGGATTATCTAATAAATCGACTACTAGAAACTTATTATCTTTTTTGGATACTCGTAAAAAAGCACACTTTCCTTTTTTGCTGTTCTTCTCCTCAATATCTTCTCAATGATAAACTAGCGGGCAATTTTTGTCCGAACAAGTTAAATGACTGCTACCAATAAAAAAATTATGAAAAAATTCGATAAATCCGTTTTTTCAAGTTTGTTTTCTGGCTTCTTGTTATTTAAGCATCTGTTTTTGTGGGTCTAAATTTGGGTGATTATCTGTGTTTGTCATATTATTCTAATACCTCCTTAATTAATTGGATTTCTTTGGCGAGTTGGGCTTTTTCTTGGGTGAGATGGTCTTGGTATTTTTGTTGGGCTGTGGCTAACTGGACTTTAAACCTTTCTATGCATTGGGTGAAGTTGATTTGGAGGTAGTAATATCTTCCTCTTGGGTGGTGATTTTTTGCTTTAAGTTTTGGTTTTCTTGCTGTAAGTCTTGGAGGGATTGGAGGGTGTTGGTGAGGTTGGTTTGGGCTTGGGTCAGTTCTTGGTTTTTGCTGGTGAGTTGGGATTGTAATTGGCTAACTTTTCCTTGAACCTGGGTTAATTCACGGTCTTTCTTTCCTAATTTCTTCTGAGTTTCCTTTAAAGTATTTTCGGTGTTTGTGAAATCAGTTTGGAATTCCTGGGTTAATTGTTCTTTGAGTTGGAGTTGTTCTTTGAGGTTCTCGATTTCTCATTTTGGCTTAGCAATAATACTTTCTTTGAAGCACTTTTCACAAATAAGATAATCACCATTCTCATCGGGAAAAATGGCTCAAACTTCTTGTTGGCAAATTTTACAGTTTAGCATTTTATCCCTCCTTTCCCGGCAAGAATAACACAAGGTTTCTGTCTGAGGAATTCGTTTTTCTTGACCACAATCGGCACATCTTTTAAACATGTTGACCTCCTCCTTTGGCTCTCTCTCTCTCTCTCTCTCTCTCTCTCTCTCTGGTTGGTCTACTTTGGCTTTTCATTCTTGGATAAGTTCATAATAATTAAACAATAATCCTTTTTCACCTCGTAGAGTTTTTTTCCAGCACGCTGGTTCTTCTCGGTATTCTCCGAAAACAAAAGATCAATTTATTTTTTTGGTTTTTCTTTTCTCTCTGGATCAGCTTCTAATCACTGCTTAAATTCTTTTAAATCGTATTTAGTCATCTTCCCCTCCTGTTTCATCGCTATCGTCATCGGTTTCTTCGGTTTGGTCGGATTGTTGTTGTCCTTGTAAGTCATTTAATCTGGCTTCTCAGTTAGTTAATAATTGTTCTAAAACTGCTTTTTGCTTAGCTAATTGGCTATCCTTGGCATTAATTTGGCTTAACTGGTCAGCAATAGTTTGGGTTTGGTTGGTGTTGGTTTGGGTTAATTGGGTGATTTTAGTTTGAAGGGTGTTTTTTTCTTGGCGGAGAGTGTTAATTTGGTTTTGTTTTTCCCGGGTTTGTTCTTGGGATTGGGTTAATTTAGTTTGGGTTTGGTGAAGTTCTTGCTCTTTGGCTTGGACTTGGTTTTTTAGTTGGCTGATTATTTGCTGGGCAATGGTTTCTTTTTGTTGGCTGTGGGTGAGCTGTTGGTTAAGGTTGGTGATTTCATTTTGGGCTTGGTTATAGTCGGCTTTTCTTTGCTGGTTTTCTTGCCGGAGAGTTTGTTCTTGGGCTTCTAATTCGGTAATTCGGTTATGTTGTCCTTGGCTTCAAGCTGTTAGTTCGTTAATTTTGGTTTCTTTGGCTTGGTTTTGCTGAGTAAGGTTTTTAATTTCTTGTTGGGCTTGGTTGAGGTCATTAGTTAACTCTTCCTTGGCTTGGCTGAGTTCTTGGATATTTTTGCTTTGTTTTTTGTTTTCTAAGGTTAAATCTCCGTAAGTTTGTTTTTGTTGGGTTAATTCTTGGTTGAGTTGGTTTTTGTCTTGGGTTCAATTAGTTTCTAGTTGGGTGTATAGTCATTGTGGATGTAGCCGAGAGTAGTTTGGATGTGAGAATGTCCCAACTGCTTCTGTATCGTTTCTA